AAAAATAAATATTATTAAATAATTTGTAATTTATATACAATTCTTTTAATGATTTATAGTATGTAATAACTGAAAAATATCGCTAATAACCAGAAAAAATACTTTGCCTGTATACTTTGCTGAAATATGCTTTAAGTTTAACTGAAATTTTAATTTTAATGAAAGTTTGTAATCAGGGAGTGCTTCGTCATACATGATTTATGTTTCTATATATTTTTCAGATGTGGAATCGAATAAAGGCGAGAAAAGAAAATCCGACGAATTAAAAGATGATTCTACCGCCAGTTCTACAGACGACAGTCAAAAGAAGAAAAAGGCGCGAACAACGTTCACTGGACGTCAAATATTTGAACTTGAAAAACAATTTGAACAGAAGAAATATCTCCCCCTAAAGAGTTCAAAAGAAGTGTATGATTGAAGGTGATTGTAACTGTACTGCTAAATATTTTCATTTAAAATCAAAGCTGCCAGTATATTACCCGGTCTGGCAAGCTTCATTCTGATCCGTATAGAATTGACAACTGGTATATAGCATCTTAGTAAGTAAATAATTTATAGAATAACATTCAAATTTAACTCATGAGTTATTAACGATATTATAAGTAGAATCATGGCCAAGGCAATTTAAGCAATTACACATAAAATGGGATTACTCTGATTAAAATAATAATTGGTTATGAGCTCCATATGAAAATGTTTTCTAAAACACGTCAAAGAAAGGGAACTCAGCTTTTTCTGGCTGCATCAAGTCACTAATGAAACACAAAGTGCCAGCCCAACCCTCGTACAAACTGCTAGGGGAGTCTGGTGTTCGAGCACCACTTTGAAACTCACTTGAGGATAAAAATTCTGCAAATTTAACAGCCCGATGAAGGTATTTTGGATCATTTGTGAGCCTGTAGAGAAGTAAGAAGACATAACCACTACCAGCTACACCATGACATATTCCAGGGCCTTTCCTTAGTAAACCTTTCTGCCACACTAATTCAGCACAACGTTGACAGGCTTTTAGGTACTTTTCATCTGCATATACTTTATACGCCTGAGCAAACATATACACCACTCCTAGAATGATAACAAGGTTAGAATTAGGGCAACAGGTAAACAATATATTTATGTGAATATTTTCAGCTACCCTTAGCACTTTCGAGAATAGATATCTTACACCAGGTTCTCCTGCAAAATCAGGATTCTATCTAATTGCACATTAGTTTCATCAAAGAGAGTGTCGAGTGTAGTCTCTTATATAAATCTGTCTTTACTTATCCGAACGTGTCCATACACACCATCTTTAGCAAGCAAGTA